GGGTCAACACTATATGACGGAGACAGCCATCATATATTTGGTGGTTATGATAGGGAGGCTGTTGTGGCTGAGACCAGGAGGGCAGATGCAGAGGCCGGACAATTTGCTCATTATCCTGTCAGCAATTTGTCCGTGTCTGCCCACATACTTCATTATGTGGTGACCCACATTATTTTCCAGCGTCCTCATAATCATTCGAAGGTGCTGGAAGGTGACTTTGTGATATTGTGGGCCCTCCTTCACCATATTAAGGTGAACTGGAGGCACTACATATGCATCTTGATGTGGAAGGCGACCAAGTCAAAAAAGGCTGAATTGCCATTTGCATTCCTGGTCCAGAAGATTTTGCACAGATTTGGTGTTCCTATGGCAACTGAGACCATGAAGACAGCCACAGGATGGAATGCCATCTTTGGGGAGCGCCTTTTGAAGCAATGCGGGATTATGCAGAGCCCAGCAGGTGTGTGGTACTGGAAGAAGGCACCTGAACCACCAGAGGTCCCCCTTCAGCACGATGCTCAGATGGAGGATGCAGGTGCAGGTAAATGTTTTTTGGATTTAGGGTAGCAGTAGGGTTAATATTTTTGCACCATCCACATTTTAATGTCTACTTTTTATGATGTTGATGCAGGACTTGATGATGATGACTCAGATGATGTTGTCCATGTTGTTGATCCCACTCCTGCACGTCGCAGCCGCACACGGCGACCACCAGGTCCACCATCACTTGAGGGGGGATGGACAGCTCCTGAGGGAGGATGGACATTTGATCATGTGATGGCCTCCATGTATCGCTTGACATGTGGACAGGACGCCGTGATGAGTGAGTTTAGGGGCTACAGACAGAGTACAAGCAAGTGGCGAACAACGATGGAAAGCAGGATGACACGCTTGGAGGGTGGATCAGCAGGGGGTCATGACATAGGTGATGAGGCTGTTGAGGACGACGACGATGATGAGGATGACGATGATGACCAGGATACACATTCGGATTCCAGGCAGTAGGGTTTAGGGTGACATGGCTGGGGTAGATTTGATTCATGTATTTTGTTAGGCTGTATGTTGGATCTTAATATATGTATGCAGCCCATTTTTTGGTGGTATAGGGTTTTATCTGATGATGTTCCCGTGTAGTTTTTTAAATATATGAAGAACCCAGTTATGAAATTTGGTGTTATCTGACTTGCACTGTATGCACCGGTAACGATGAAGACTGACCAACATCAAATTCAACATATATCTCAATCATTTTTAATACTTTCCATCCAACATACGCATCTGTGACGAACTCCACATCTTCATCATCATTGATATCGTTACCAATGTAGTATATTGTATCCATACCCACAACAGTCTCTAACCTGGCTATCATGCGGTGGATGGAATGGATGCCTTCTGACCCCATTTTTTGGAGAATTCTGTCCTTGAGTTCATTGCATGTAGTGCCCACTTTGATTTTCATCGTTTTTGTTTTTCCTTCAAATCGGACACCATTCGGACCTTCAAAATGCCTCCCATTGTAGTAAATAACTATAGGTACCATGATAGGACTTGAACTCATCTTTCACACGAAAATTTGGGTTAATTTGGGTTTAGGTTTTGGGTTTGGATCTTGGTTCGGATTTTTTAACACAAAATGGAAATGTGGAGGTGTAATGCCAATGTCCTACCAAGATTAAGCTTTTTGAGATGATGAGATGAAATATATGTGTGATGCTTCGGAATAGAGACGTGAAGGGAAACTGATTTGGGGAGAAAAAACTCTACCTCACAACAATGGCCCCTTGGTATTGGATACCCTATTCGCGAATTCTACCCGGGTACCCCATTACCTACCCGGGTAAATAATTCAAAAAAATTCCAGATCGAAGAACAATACCCGGGTACCCCACTACATACCCGGGTATGGTTGATTTTTTTAAAATATACCTGGGTATGGAGTGGGGTACCCGGGTATGCTTCGTGGTCAACGGTCAAACATGAGCATATTGGTGTTATGTTTGTTTGGAGGGTTAATTTTTCGTAATAGTTTCTAATCGAAGGCAATTTGATAAATAATTATTAATAAAGGGCTACAGTGGTCAAAAAACCGTCATCAATGAGCTTTAAGCATTATTTTATAACATTTTCAAAGTTTAGAATTTTAACTTTGAATTCTTTTTAATTAATTAAGCACTATTTTATAACAGAAAATATTCTAACACAAATTAATAACTGTTTCTTTTCTATTTTTGCTAGGCACTGTGTTGCTTTTTTTTTTGGTAAGCTTGTGTTGCTTGTTTCAATTTGTCTTTTGTTAACAAAAAAACAAATATATCTGAAATATTTATTAAAAAATTTACGTGAATTTGAGCTTTTAATACACTTACGAATGTGTACGTGCAAAATGCTTATTTTGCACAAGTTAAACTTATAAATTTTGTAAATTAATTTTTAATATTTTATTTTATTTTCTTGACTTCTTAATATTAAAGAAATTATATTAGCTTGCAAATAATTGATTCATTCTTTATTATTATTTTACATTTCATTAATATTATTAATTACATATTTACTCGTCCATGCTATTGTTTATTAATGTCATGACTTTGAGCTTTTGTTACACTTAAGAATACGTACGTGAAGAATGCTTACTTTGCAGAAGTTAAATTTATAAATTTTGTAAATTAATTTTTAATATTTTAATTATTTTCTTGACTTATTAATATTATAAATTTTTATTAGCTTACACATAATTAGTTCATATTTTATTGTTATTTTACATTTTATTAAAGTCGTGATTTAATTTTTATTTATTTATTTATGTTAGAAATGTGGCTTCTGTAATCAATTCGGTTATATTTAGTATTAAAATAATTTCACATAAATAACCTCTTTTTTAAAACTAGTTACAATTTCTTTTAAAAGTGAGTGAACCAAATATTCAAGATATCAAAATTTTACCGCTACTGGAATAAAAAAGATATAAAAAAGTTGATTAAATTGTTGAAATTTAAAAGGTAAGGATAATAGGATTTGCAAATTCTTTTTATCTTGGTTTGACCACTCTCATTTATGATTTAAGGGCAGGTTATATTTACAAACTTTTTTATTTACAAACTACACTAAGTAAGACCGGTCCTACATTAATCACACAGTGTATAACTAATCTTACTTAGTGTAATTGCAAAAAAAATTTATAAACGGATCATGTCCCTATAATTTATGCTAGTCCTCAATTTTCTCTTTAAAGATTTTCTCCAATACTAGACAAGTTTCACGGTGCTTAAAAGCTTTTACAACATCTATGTTTTTTTTTTTTTGGCCGAGAAACCTTACAATCTATTAAGTCTCATGAGTATCTTTAAACTTCACGGGTTTTCAAAAAACTTTTCAACTACCAAGATTTTGGATCCTTAACAATTAGAGATCTGAATGAGTTAGACAATTTATCAGGGATCTATAGTTTGATCTGCCTTTAGTCTGTCTTGGATTTGTCCAATTCTAAGATTTTAATATGTTAAATTAGATATTTCAAGATTTTCAACAACATATTATATGTCTCAATTGGATTTATATAGCTTAAGATATGTCTTTCACAGAATGACCATTGTTAACCGAACCTTAGGACACAAGACAGAAACTTTAAACTCATACTGAGATTGATCTACTTATCAAATGGATTTGAAATTTTTCGGAGTTATAGCCCTATGTATTATCTCCATATAGTAAAAATCCCACTCAATTTAAAGCTTTGTAGCTTGAGATATCGAGATTTTACTAATCTGGGTTATATACCAAGAAGTAATCGATCACTACATCTTTCTATAAAGTAATCAATTATTGCTCGAAAAGTAATTGATTATTTCTTCGGCAGAATGTAGAAAATAAGTTTTTTAAGGCATAATCGACATCTAATGGTTTCCCAAACTTATTTAGTCATTTAATCAGTATATAACACGTTTTAAACATATAAATAACTTCAAGATTCAACTTTTAACCTAAATCATGTCATCTACCATGAAGAACAAAGAAAAGGTCATTCTTTTCATCTTCGAAGCTTCACCCATATAAGAAGAGATAATCCAAGCTTCCAATCATAAAAAGATTCCACTTTTAATCCATCAACCATAAACTTAGCAGCTCCAAGATGAAGTTTTTCTCTCCAAAACCCTAGCTTATAGGTTGTTTCCATAGTATAGTGATGAAATGTCAATGATTGATAAGTATTCAAGCTAGTTTGTGGAGAAGATGATGGAGCTCAAGGGAAGAGAGTAATGGGTCGGCCAAGAGAGGGTAGGGGCTGCTGTGCTAGGGTTCCATGAGTGTGAGAAAACACAATAAGGAGTAGAGTGTGTAGGTTTAAGTCTTTTAAGTGAGTATACTAAACCTTATGATTAATTACACACTTCACTCACCCACTTAATTCTCTATCAATCTCACATGAGCATTTCTCTTGTCATTTATTTTCTTAAAATTCATAGAATAATAATCTCTGTTTATTTTTTTAATTTTTCGGTTATTTTTGTCTACTATAATTTTTACCTGAAACACACAATATCCATACTTTTCACATAAAATTGACTTAATTTAAATAATTAGAATTTATAAATAATCACAATTTATTTTTATGTTTTCAGATAATTTACCTACTCTTAGTTTTACCTCAAAGTGGCACTATTCACAATTTTCTCAAAATAATAATTTTTTTAAAAAATAATTAAATATTTTAATGTAATAATCTTCATTTAATTATTAAAATCCCCATTTAACAATATGAGTTCTTATACCTCAAATACTCCATAGTCGGGGAGCATTGAAAATATTTCCCTTTAGGCACGACAATTGATAAACTAAAGATGCAGATAAGATTTTGAAACGTGACATTTTTTTTTTTTTTTGAAACGTTTTGATATTTTATTTTCTGAATCATGTGATGTCATTTCGATAATTAATTTAAAAAATAGTGGCAGTGTCCTCAATGTCCACTAAAACGCACCTGTATGGAGGGTTTAGGCTTTCTCGCAGTGTGTAAACTCTGATGGAGGTTTTAAGTTTGCAGTGAGTGTAATAAACCCTAAACCCTAAATAATGGCTTATGGTCCTTTCTCTCTCTTACTAACCAGACGCTTCTCTCTCTCCCTATCTCCCCTAAACCCTAAATCCTCGTTCTTACTCTTGCAGCTTGTCACCAAACCATTCTCAACCTCCCCAGAATCAAACCCAAAACCTTCTACCCTTTCTGCGCGTCTCAGCTTCGTCTTTGATCAAATCGATGCCATTGAAAAAGAGCGCTCCCAGAAGAACGAAACGCTTCAACGCATTCGATCCTGGCGCGAATCCAAGATCACCTTAACCGCTCAAAACGATACTCATGGTACCGAATCAGAATCACCATTTGCAGCGGATGAAATCCCTAAACCTGCTGAGTCGAAGCTTGTGGCGAAGAATGAGGTGGAGATGGTGCACCCATGGCCTGAGTGGATCCAATTGATGGAAAGGCTGGTGCACCAGAATTACTTTGATCACAGGAGGATGGACGAGGATAAAATGGTTCACGATTTAGGTTTCGATCCTCCCGAAGTTGTGGATGATGCTGGATTCGATTTGACTAAGGATTTCAAGAGCGTTCATAATGCATGTCTCAATTTTGGGAAAGACCGTTTCGACATATTGAGGTTTGTGCATTTACGTAAGTTTAATTCTTTTTGGTGGTTGAATGGGTTAGGTGACTTTGGTATTAAAAAAACAAATCTAAGTGACAATTTTCCCCAATGGTATGTTACGTTTTTGGGCGAGCAGTGGTAACAAAATAATATTGTAGCCTGTTACTGCTCTGTTTTGTTTACTACTGTGTGTATGGATATGTTTTTGATGTGATGATAACTTTCCAACTGCTACTTTGCATCACAATTGCTGAAATAGGATATTGATTCCAGGTCCTTGTCGAGGAAGGATATTCAAATTTTGGTTGGTTTTGGATGCCCCAGTGTGGATAGAAAGGTGGTTTTCTCTTCAAAGCTTTTAAGGAAGCATGTCCACCTCGATGAAGGAGATGTAAGTGTAACACGTTTTTGTTTTGTACTGCACACAACTGCCAATTTCTTAATTGCTTCTTGATTCTGTTATGCCAATTTTGAAATCTGTAAATTTCTTTGTCTGAGTTCCTTGATTCCATCTGTATGGATACAAGTGTAAGCGAAAGGGAATTTTGTTTTGGATGTTGGAGGCAGGAGGCCATTCAATATACTCTACTAGTTTGCTGAGAAGATATGGAATTTCGTATATCTGTGTCTATATTTATGGTTGGTGGTGAAGAAATTGTAATCACTTTGACTCTGCTAGCATCCTTTATATCTCTCTCTCATACACACATCTATTACTTTCTCTTTGTCAGACACCCCCCTTCATCTCTCTTATTTGGTCTCATTCTTCAATCCTTAGCATATGTTACTCTTTAGGTTGAATATTTTTTTGTTTATATGATTAAAAATTCATTGATACCAGGTCTGTAGTTCCTGCAGTTTGAGAAACAATTGTGAAAGGGCATATCTGCTAACGAACAAGGAGGATGAGGCACGGACTATTGATGTCATGCGGATTCTACTGACTTTTGGTTTCGATCCTGTTAATGGATCAGTCATCAACAAGTCACTTCTAAAGCAAAAGTCTGTCAAAACAGTGGTTCGTAAATTGCTTCATGAGGTTGTCAAGCTGAGTTCGGTTCCTATTGATCCAAATCTCCCTCCTCCAGTGATTAAAAAGCCTCCACCAAAAGTGAAACAACCTCCTCCTCCTCCAAAGAAACGTGTTGGACGTGATGATGTCGAGATGAAAAAAGGGGACTGGCTATGTCCTAAGTATGTCCTTTGAATCTCTGTGATTTACTTGCAATAATGAACACTTGGTTTTACTACCTGGGTGCATGTTGGTTTCAAGTCAATTTTCTGTTCGAAAAACTCTTTTCTCCAATTTCTTTTGCCTGGTACTCCCTGTGAACCGTATGAACTTTATTTTTGGGCATACTACTGATAGGTATCATTATTAGATTTATTAAATTAATTTTTTATTATATATATATATTATTTTGTTATTTATTACTTATTTTTCATTAATTTGTTTTATATGGGTTCATTGAATGACCCAAATTAGTTTGGAATAAAGTAATTTAAGATATAGGACTAGACTAGATAATCAATTGGTTATGAATAATTTGCTATGGAATGACATCAAGCATATAATAGTTGATTTTTCCTGTTGACTGAAGATGCTGTAACACTTTTCAGGTGTGAATTCATGAATTTTGCTAAGAATACTGCTTGCTTACAGTGTGATGCCAAGCGTCCTAAGAGACAGTTGCTGCCAGGAGAATGGGAATGTCCTGAGTAAGTTTAAGTCCTTGACTTCTATAATCACACATACACAGTGAAGGCAAATATACTATTCATATCTGAAGCTTAGGACATCAGTGTGAAGCATGCTGTTTTGATATAATTAAATATTAATAGCATGCGGTATTATGTTCGTTGAAAGATTGAGAGGCTTATATGTCCCTTGAAGTATCTTTTACTAAATTTTTTTGTGCTTGACCTTTTTTCCTCTGGCAGGTGCAACTTCTTGAATTACAGGAGGAACATGGTATGCTTTCATTGCGATTGTAAACGCCCACCTGATGAATTTCTGGAGAATAAAATGCAAGATAAAATGAACAATTCCAAGCCAAAGTTAGATAAGAAGGGCAACTGGCAAGAGTTTTCGAATGCCTGGAATTTTGACTTCGATGACAATGAATCAGATGGTGCAGATGTAGCTGCTTTTGAGTATGCAGATGCTCATGCTATAGATGAAGATTTCCCTTCAGATAACCAGGCTCAACATGGAAATTATAGGGGGAGGGAAGATGATTTTCAGAAAAATGAGAGAGTGCAAAGGTCCGGTGAAGGAGAATATGATAATCCTGGTCTTCATAGACCTGGAATAGGGTTTGATGATTTTGAGGATGAGGATGATATAGATAGTTACGAGCTAGAAACTCAAGCTCAAAATAGTAGTACAAGAATGGAAGCATCTAAAAGTCATTTCTCAGAAGCTGAAGACTCTTCGGAGTTGGAAGATATCGAAGATGCTGATGATAAAATGCATGCACGTCACAAAACAGCTTCCAGAAGAAATGTCCAATCTCGTTCAATTCGCAAGAATACATCTTTCTCTGGATCCAAGGATGTTGATGGTCTTGATTTTGATACCAATGAACAGCAGTCCATTCTTTCCAATTTCAAATCTAGCCATGTTTCTGCTGCTGGCCAGAAAAGAAGGGGCAGAAGTCCACCCAAGAAATTAAGCTTCGGTTCTGAATCTGACGAAGATGTTGGTGCTGGCTTATACTCTGATGAGGATGATGACTTAAATGAGGTATATTCATCGAGAAAACATAAAGGGAACAAACATGATCCATCCAGACAAAACAATGGGCATAGACATGATTCTGGGAGAAGGAACTTTACTAAAGACAGGAAGTCTGGATCCACTGGTGGTCGCAAAGAAAATATGTTCGGTGATGATTTTGATGGATCATCCCGGCAGTCTTATAGGAATGGTAGAGGGTCTCAGGGAAATAGCCGTAATTGGAAGAAGTTTGAAGATTTTGATGGATCATCCAAGCAATCTTATGGTAACGGCAGAGTGTCTCGAGGAAATGACCGTATTGGATCTTCCCGGAAGTCTTATGGGAATGGTGGAGGATCTCGAGGAAATGGCCAGAATTGGCAGAAATTTGAAGACAGTAATAGCAGAGGACGGTTTAATAAATACAGTGTGGATGAGAAGGGTTCTGGCGAATTTAGAAATAGTAGGCGAGTGATTGAAAGATAATGCCATAGCTCCATAAACAAATTTTTGTTACTCAGTTTGTTGTTGCAGATGACTATTGGTGATCGCCAAAGTCAAATGTGGTACAAGCCTCTAAAGGTCAGTATTCAATAGATCATTTGGTGCTAAAATTTCATGGAAACGATTGGAAAGCTCAAATAAACCTTGGAAAAAATCCCCCCTCCATGTACCTATTCCAAGTCATTTTAAAAAATACTACAGTTCTTGTATGGCTAGAAGTTCAGTTAGGCAACCAAGTTTGTCTGGTTCATGCTATTTATTAGCAAAGTTAACCTGCTACATGAGCGGTATGCAGTGCCACACTGCGGTCATCCATATATAGGCCATAACTGATCATATCTCTTTTCTTTTAAGCAAATATGTGCCCCGCCGATAGCAATGTATGCTTTATTAGTATTAGGAATAGAAATATTATTTGGAATATTTTGATATATTATGATGTTCTAAAATCTTCTCTTGCTCTTTTATATAAGAGCCTCATTTATGTATAACTATTCGATGAAATCAATTTTTTCCTTATTTTCTCTTTATCATATTTCTAATATGGTATAAGAGCGATACCACCCTCCATAGCTTTATGGCTGTGTCATTTTCTTTTCTCTTGCTTTTTCATCTCATTTTTTTTTTACCTTCATCTGAGATTTCCTAGTTCTTTTTAGGAGGCGTTGTTCGTTCACCGGCGTCATTCGTGGCTGTTCTGTTTCTCGTTCCTGTCTTCATCTTTCGTCGGACCTCCATGGATCTTCATTGTGTCTGTTCTTGTTCGTTGGACCTTCATCGCTGCGTCTTCGTCCAACAACCGCCCTTCCTCCTTTGTATCCGGTTTCGTGGAAGTTTTTCGGTGTCTCTTTCATCTTCGACGACTTCTCCTTTCTTGATTTCTTAGATTTGTGTTTTCCTTCTTTCCAGATTTGTTTCCATTTCTCTCGGCAAAATAGCCCCGTAACTTCGGGAGAAGGGGTGCCTCCTCACAAAGGGGGTCGCAGTGACCAGGCCCGGGCGACTGTTTACCAAATAGATTTGTTCTCCTTTGTTCTTTGATCTGCGTTTTTTCCCTCTAGGATGCATTTGCTCCGACTGTAGCATTTTCGTTCCAGATTATTGAAGTTTTTCGATCTGCGTTTTTCTTATCTGGTCTCTTCCCCTCCGGCCGTGTCCTTCTCTTTTCCAGTCGTGTGTTTATCTTTTTGCTGGATCATGTTTCTCCTAGTCGTGTCTCCTCTTTGGCTGCATTTTTTTTTCTTAGTCATCTTCCAGCTTTGATACCATGTTAGAAATATGATAAAGAGAAAATAATAGAAAAATTGATTTCATTGAATAATTGTTGATTTGTACATAAACGAGGCTTTTATGTAAAAGAGTAAGATAAGATTCTAGAATATCATAATATATCAAAATATCCCAAATAATATTTCTATTCCTAGTAGTTATGTTAGTAACTTCTAAATATGAGTGCAAGTTCAAAGTAAACAATGCCCATTTTTGTAATCACCCATGTTGTTGTGCGAGATTATGAATACGAAAATTGTGTAGGCAATATTGATTTTTTAATCGATTGTACGGTTTCTATTGCAGCTTGATATTCTCTTTTTAAGTGTGCTCGGGGATGAATGTCTTCTCTTGCTATTACAATATTCCCGAGCCCTGTATTTAACTATAGGTATGGCTTTTACTATTTTTTCAGTTGATTGAAAAAAAAAATCATCCCGGCCTGTGGATTAGATTGACGGACATTGAGCTTTTCATTTTTTTAAAGTGAGTCGTGCAAACATCTTCTGGAGTACTGAAATGACACATTTTTTGCAATTAGATCAGCATAAATGAATGGTTCTGATGTTTGAAAAATTATAGGTTATGATGTGCTTGAAGTTAAACCAAGGGCGAATGAGGTCCCAACTTTTAAATGGGCGGTTTCATGGCATAAACCCAATTTGCGTTGAAACTCTGTTAAATTGCATGTATATAGATATGAGAAGTAGTACGTAAAAATTTTAAAAATTAAATTTTAAAAGCTGGATGATATATGGGGTAAGATGTCCGAGTAAATTAAAATCTCATTCTTAATTATTGATCTCATGTAAAGGCTATAATTTATATAAAATTATAAATTATTGAATATAAGTGAATCAATCACTAAGGGTGAATATAAATTTATTATTCTTACGTAAGTTGGTCTTGCATATTATATATTATAAAAAGTTATAGAAGTATAACAACTCATAGCGTGATTTAGAGCATTATAGAATATATTTTTTTTCTAAATTTTCGCTTATTGATTATTAATTGTTTTAAATATACAGTAAATTATTTTAAAACATATTTAAATTTATATTAGATGATAAATATAATATAAAAGTTATTGGTCTAATGGTAACTTGGTTAGGTTCTAGGATTTGACTTGTTTATAGAGTAGACAGATTGATTCATGAGAGTCGCAATTCTTGAGGAAGGTGAAGAAACTCAAATCTAAAATAAAATTAGTCGGGTTTATTAAGACTTCAAATACTAGTTGGTATTTAAAAGAAGAAAAAAAGATGGATATAATTTTCACAACATTTTAACTTTTATATTTTATCTTTTAGCCGAATTAATGCAACTTTTAAAATAAATTACCGAAGTGATGTAAACGTCAAATATTTTACCAAAATAATGTAACCAATATTGTGCGCATTCCATATAGAAGGTGGATGGAGGGAACGGGTTTATATAGAATCAAGTCGTAAATTCCTACGTTCGATTTGAACACGCACACATCCGTATAGTAAAGGATCATGTTGATTGCACTATGATATGGCTGGGTGATGCAATCACCAATGCTGTCTTGGATTCCCTTAAGTCATGCAAGTCCATTTGGTCACTACTTCACTAGATAGGGCAAATCTATCTAAATGTTCAACGAGAGCAACCTTATCCTTCAAGCTTCTTTTGCTTTAAGAGTGCACGTATCACTCATATTAATACGTTAGCATGAATTCAAAGGCGGATCTAGGTTAAGGAGAAAGGGGGCAAGTGTCCACCTTTAAAATATGATGCAAAAATACAAAAATACCCTTCTCTTAAAATTCAAGTTTTTCCAATTTAATTTTGGGGTAGAATATTGTAACAATCAATTAGGGTTACTACCAATCAATTTCACCGTTAAATTGATTATGTTGATCCAACGGTTATATTTATTTTTATCTTTGTATGGTTATGATTCCCCATATTTAATACTTTATATTTATTTTCACCTTTGTATGATTATGATTTTCTATATTTAATGCTTTTACATTAAATATGAGGATCATAACCATACAAAGATATAAATAAATATAACCGTTGAATCAACATAATCGATCTAATGGTGAAATTGTTTGGTAGTAACCCTAGTTGGTTGCTACGATATCTTACCCCTTTAATTTTCCTCCTTCTATTTTATTTTCCTGTGAGTTTTTTTCCTCCTCCATCTTCATTATCCAAACCTAACAGCAGAAAGCTCTATTCCAGACCCATCGTTTGCATCTACATACTGATTCATCTCCTCGCAAACCTCAATCCAATCTCCGTTATTGGAAGTTGAAACATTTGTTTCTTCGTCCATCATGGGTCTAGTTGATTAGCAATCCATCACAGCCAGACCCAGTCAACAGGCAGCTGCTCGCAAGTCGCGTTTCAGACCAGACCCAAATCTATATATACTTAAACTTATTGAGTGCCTACCTTTCATTAATTTCCTGGATCCGCCAATTAACACGCTAACTACATCAGTTGTTAGTTGGTAACTTCTCGATGTTGCACTATATTGTCCACCAAAGTAGGATTTGTGGGACACCATTCTTGGGAATAAACATACTTGCCAAAAGTGAAGCAAATAAAGTATAATCCCTCGTATTAAACCCCTTTCTCCTTTCTTTCCAACCTGTACTTGTTTTCAACGGTTTGGATAAGTCTAGTTCCACGCATATGCGAGCATACTTGCTTCTAGACTGAACAATAGTGGTGCGATCTATGCGGATGATTTTCCCATCCAATTACCAAGCCTTCGCAGGAAAGGGCCTTAGTAAAATTCCCTAGGAATGTCCAGCAACTGAACCCATGTAGTGATTTTTGTTATATATGCTTCATTTGGGTTAAACTCCAGTTCCCAATGTTTGATGGACAAGTAGTGACCAAAGGTCATTCATGGTCCACCAGTAAGCGTAGCAAGGAGGTCATATTTGCTTGTAAACTTAACAATGAAGAAGTAATTAGTGATACCAAACGGTGATAGCTCATGAAGCTAAGTAAGTGAAAAGAAAAGAGTTTGATTCGATCCCCTAACTTTTGAAGGGGTTTAAATATCTTCCAGCATCCCAAATTAGTTCCACTGTCGATTCAATGAGCCGAAACTTGTAGAAATACCAAGATGAGCCAACTAACCTCAACTAACCTCAAATACAGTAATTAGAGTTGAGTTAACTCCACCATCAACATCAACAATATCTTTATTCCAAACTAATTGGGGGAGTCAGTGAAGTTGAGTTAACTCCAAAAAAAAAAAATGTCGTTATCGATGTCTCAAACGTATACTATTAATCCATCGTATGCCCGCAGAGCCTAAAGTTTCTTTTTAAAATAGGCAACTCCCACCTTCTGCCCCGTAAGTTTTACAATGAAGGCCTGCGTCCAGGGAATTCGCTGTGTTGGTTAGTAGACTTAGTGCCCAAGAAATTTGAAATATCATTTTTGTTTATAACTTCCTTCAAGCTCCATTCATCACCCTCACAATCATCCAAGCCATGGATATTTTTTATGTGCACTTTCTAGTCTATACCATCCTCTTCATCATGGAGATCCTCACCATTGTGTTTCATCAATGTCTCTCGAAAGGATTTCCTACGAGTGGGATCATTACACATCATCTAAGCTTACATTCTTGTTTAGAGAATGTGTTGGAGAAAGTCTCATTGCCACCTTTATTTTGTTTGTTGCTCCTATGTAGATTGTCATCTTTCTCTACTGACGTCTCAATTTGTTCGTTGTTCGTGAGTTCGCCAAAAATCGCCATTGCTAATTTGTTTTCACAACTCAAGTTTTTTTTCTCCCTATAATTTCCATTTTTATATTTTAGATAGGGTTTGGAGTTTGTCATTTAAAATGAAATAAGTTATGTCATGTCATTTTAAGAGAGAGATAGACACAGAAAAACGGAAATCACGAGAGAGAAAGTGGGTGGTTTTTTTAATTTAAAATTCAAATAATTTTTTTTTTCTATGTCTCTCTCTCTTAAAATGACATAACTTTATGCCATTTAAAATGGCAAACACTTTTCCCTTTAAAATAACCTAATATTGGACTTTCTTCCAATTCAGATTTACCAAAAACTTCATGGGGAGGTTATATTTCCTACTTTTTATTTACTACCTCTTACTACCAAATTTTACTCATTGACTTCCGTCAATCTAACGGTTATAATTTATTGAGAATTAATAATTAATTAATAAAATAATTTATATCGTTAGATTGACAGAAATCAACGATTAATATTTGATAGCAAGAGGTAATAAGAAAAAAAGGAAGTAAAAATCTCTCCCAATCTTCATTAGGTGACCATATATTAATATTTCAACTTAATTAATTTTTACAATTGCAACTACACAAGCTATTTATCAATTCATTTAAGTTAAAGATTATTCTTCATTTTAACCTATTAAATATATTTTATGCGTTTTCATATTAATTAGTATTTTCCAAATTTATATAAAATCCTTATAATGAGTTTTGAATATAAATTTGATATTAGACGTGCACGACAATCATTCTGTTCCCAAACATTATGTCTGAAAAGAAACAATTCTTTTATATTTCTATGTCTTGGAACAAGTTTTAGAGAAAAAATATATATTTGATAACATGTTCTATTTTTTTATGAGAATGAAAATTGCATTTGATAACACAACAAATAATAGAATAAAAAATTATTCCTATTAAGCATAAAAAAATTACGGATCATCATTTTCCTTTTCATATGATGTTGTAGTGATAGTGATGGTGATGGCGACGACAATGATTGCGATGATGGCGGTAACGATAGTGGTGGTGGCGGTACGACGATGGTAGCAGTAATCGTGTCAGAATGGTGGTGATGATGATGAGAGTAGTTGAGAGAGACAAGTGTTTCTCATTTTGCGTCCGAGAATAAAAAGCAGAGATTGAACCGGTTCATTCTTGGGAACAAAAAAATAAATCGATTTTGTCAAATATTGTTTCTATCCATTTATGTTTCTAGGAACAAAATAATAAAAAAAAGTGATTCTGGAAAGTTTAGGATGCACACCCTAAATATCATTGGTTTTACAATTATTTTCGCAAGCTTTACAAAAAAAGTATTTTAAAAGAAAAATTGTTCTAGTACAATAGTACACATAGGTAAAATAATGATAAATTACGTCATTACGGATGTGCATGACAATCTTCTCGAAATCAGTTTTTTTATTTATTTCTGTTTCCGGGAACAGAAATAGATAGAAATAGGTTTGGTAAAA